ATTACGCCGTCATCGTCGTCGGCGTGATCAGCATCGGTGCCGTCACTGGCCTTGCCGTCAACGTCGTCGCCATCGACACTCGCATCGCTACCATCATCATCGCGTCTACCGTTGTCGACGTTGCCATGGTACCTGGCCCGCCCAAGTCGCCGACTCGCTCTGAAGTGACCCCTGGGAAGTGCCCAGCGGTCAGCGCCACCGCGGCCGCGTCGGTCGCGCTAAACTAGCTGGCCGCTGCGCGCGCGCGAGCATGCGTGGGCCAGCGCGGCCGCAGAGATGCACAAGCCAATTCCAGGCACTAATCGTAATCGCCGCCGCATGGTCTTGCAAACCAATTTGCGGGTGGGTGGGTGGGATGATTACGCGAGCCGTGGAGTGGACAACTCACTGTGAATAGAAAGTAATTGCGCCACATAGACTGTGCCACATAGATTCCTAGAAACGCACTTTTTGGGGTCCACGCTTGCTGGCATTTTCCATTCAATCGGTTGTGCCACCTGCTCTCTGCGCTCTGCTCAAGAATCCAAGAATCCAGCACCCCAGCAATTGGGGACCACCGAATCTGGCCGCCACCCGAAATCGTCGGCACATTTTATGCCGCCAATGCTTCACAGCATTCTCGATGGTCCCTTCAGTGCCATCAGTGATCGGCACGCGACGTGCGTTTTGTGTGTCGTTCCGGGCCCAAGGCGCCCCCATTCACCGTGCGGGACCGGGAGGTCCCACACGGAGAGAGGGGTGTTGTCACATTTTCCGTGCCGTCGGATCTCGGGGCGTTCCAAGCGTCGCCGTTGGCCAACCAACACTCATGTTATGTGTGCGTCGGCCCCGCAAGGGCGACGCGCACGCCAGGAACTCGTGTAGTGTGTTAGCTAGCGTGGCCCCTCAAACAGTGTGTGTTCAGGCAATCTATGAGGTGCGCTCAACGTGGTGCAGCCCATGTGGTGCAATCTCTGTGGCGCTATATATTTTCTACAGCTTATGTCTTGTGTGGAGCAATATGTGTAGTGCAGTCGATGTGATGGAGTCAGTGTTGTGCAACATGTGTTGCGCAATCTGTGGTGTGCAATCCACGCGCTGCAATATATGTTGTGTAATCTATTGTGTGCAAGCTATGTTGTGCAATCTTAATTTGAGTTCGTGTTGTGCAATCTATGCTGTGCGACCTGTGTTGTGCAACTTATTGTGTGTAAGCGATGTTGCGCAATCTATGTTGTGCAATCCATATGGTGCAATATGTGTTGTGAAATATTAATAAATTAGCATACACATCAATACATTACGTTGTGCAATCTTATCCGGCAATCTATGTGGTGAAGTGTATGTTGTGCAATATCTGTGGTCCAGTCTGCATTGTACAATATATGTGGAGCATTGTGCAATATATGTGGAGCAATCTATGTGTCGCAACCCATGTGCTGCAATCTTTTTTGTGCAATCTATGTGGTGCAATCTATTTTGTGCAATACGGTGGAGGCATGATATAAGGCATCTTTGCTTCCAGGCGGGACCCTCGGACATTCCTTATGTTTTAAAGTTTGGCGTGGCAGTTCAGGGTCCAGGACAATTCCTTAAGTCGTGATCGGTGCAAGCTTTGTGGTCCAATGTCTCGACCATTCCTTGAACGAGTAAGGAACTCTGCAGATTCGAGCCTCCGCCTTTCTCAACACCGGTGTCGTTATTTAAGACCTTCACCGTATTTGTGGTGCCATGTATGGTGTGCAGTTCGTATTGTGCAATCATTTTTTTTTTGTTTTCTCTCTCTCTCTCTGTCCCTCCCTCTCTCTCACTGTATATTTCTATTCATATTTCATATATCTTTATAGTGCCGGGGACCCCGGAAAGAGCGCATCCCCCATTTTTCCCCCTCCCCCCCAAAACGAATTTCGAGTCCTTGGGCCTGTCTTGCGCCTCTCTGCGGCCATCCTGGGGTCATCTTGACGCCCCCGAGCAGCAGGAAACGAAAAAAACGAAAAGGCCGAACACATTGCTTTTCTACAGGGTTTGCTCTGATTTTCCGACTCTCTGGGCCTTGGGCCTCTTCGGGGCTCGTCTGGGGACTTATTTGGAGCCGTCCTGGGGCTATCTCGACGCATCACGAGCCGATCGTGAGCGAAATGCGAGACGGCCAAAAGCAATGATTTCCCCATGGTCTTTTATGATTTTCAATTCTTTGGGCCTTCTTCGGCCAGCCTTGGGCCTCTTTTGGGCTCGTCTGGGGACTCATTAGGAGCCGTCCTGAGGCTATCTTGACGCCTCCCGAGCCGATCGTAAGCGAAAAGCCGAGAAGGCCAAAACCATGGATTTGCCAATGGGTTTTCATAGACTTTTAATTCTTTGGGCCTTCTTCGGCCAGCCTAGGGCCTCTGTGGGCCTCAGCTTGCGCCTCACTGGAGCCATCCTGGGGCTATCTTGGCGCCCCCCGAGCCGATCGGAAGCGAAAAGGCGAGAAGGCCGAAAACATTGCTTCTCGAATTGTCTTTAGATTGATTTTCGAACCTCCCGGCCCTCTAGGGCCAGTCTGTGCCCTCTTTGGGGCTCGTCTGGGGACTCATTTGGAGCCGTTCTGGACCTATCTTGATGCCTCCAGAGCTAGTCGGAAGCGGCAAGGCGAGAAGACCAGCAGCGCGCATGCCGAAAAAACATGTTCTGTAGGAGGTAAAGGAAGAGGAGGAAGAGGAGCAGGGGGTAGAGGAGAAGAAGGAGGAGGAGGAGGACAAAGAAGAGGATTCAGAGGAAGAGGGGCGAGGAGAAAGAGGATGAGGATGAAGCGGGAGAAAGAGTAGGAGGAAAAGGTGGTGGAGGAGGAGGAGGAGAAAGAGGAGGAGGAGGCCCTGCTTCATGCTAGCCCAACCACTCGCCTGAGACATATTCGCGCCTCTGGGCCCAGAAACGCCCTCAGCTGGCCTCAGCTGGTGTTGTCTGGTCGCTCCCGCTTACGAACTCCTCACCCATTCCGACTTGGCGGTGGCCCGCCCCATGTCCACGCGCACGCACGCCGCCTGCATTCGAAACTATAAGGAACAAGGTGCATGGCGCGAAGCGCCAATGCAGTCTTGTATGTATTTATGCATGTATGTATGTTTGTATGTATGTATGTGTATGTATGTATGTATGTATGTATGTCTGTATGTATGTATGTATGTATGTATGTATGTATGTATGTATATATGCATGCATGCATGTATGTATGCATGTATGTATGTATATATATATATGTATAGATGATGCTACAAATCTGATGCAATCCATTCGGTGCAACCTTCGTGGTGCAACCTGTATATGCGTATATCGTGCAATGCTTGTCGTGCCATCTGTGCTGCGTCATATTTTTGAGGAAATCTATGTTGTGCAATCTGTGGGGTGCAATGTGTATGGTGCAGTAGTATCTGTTGTGCCATCTATGTGGAGCAGCAGCCTATGTGGCGGCGGCAAGGCGGCGACGGGGCGGCGACCGCGACAACATAGCCGCCAGACCACCAGACCAGCCCAGTCGACGGGCGGCGACGAGGCGGCGGCGGATGGACGACGGTGACAGCATAGCCGCCAGACCGTCACACCGGCCCAGACGAAGGGCTGCGACGAGGCGGCGACGAGGCGGCGACAGCGCGGCGACGGCGACAACATAGCCGCCAGACCGCCACACTGGCCCAGACGACAAGCGGCGACGAGGCGGCGACGTGGCGGCGACGGTGACAACATAGCCGCCAGACCGCCACACCGGTCCAGTTCCGTAGTAAGAAAAGGGGTCCCGTAGGTGCAAACACTGCTCGGGGAATAAGCTCCACGGCGGGCGCTTTCTGGTCATACCGCTCGGGCACCAATCTGCTATGATATTTGTGTACTGTATGATTGAGTCGGACGTGCGCCTCCAACATCAGCACGTAGTATTACGGTCGAGCATCTGGTTAAACAGACCTCCTCCCGCAAAGTTGGGCCAGCGTCATTCAATCAAATTGCCAGAAAGGTGGCCCAGTTTCTTCAGCACCTCCGCCCTCCAGCGTGAAGACAGAAAGCGGCCCAGGTTTGTTGGAGGAAACCTCCAGGAAGCTGGCCCAGGTTTCTTCAGTCATGTGGTTCTTGATCATACTTCCGACAGTGGTATGTAGTATGTTCTTATGCGTCCCGCAGAGGGCAAACGGAAGGGCTCGGAAAAGGGGAAGATTCGACGGGCAGGGACGTGCGCCCTCCTCCTCCAGCCTCCGTCCTCTTGCCTCCCCTCCTCCTCCTCCTCCCAGCGCATCCCTCCCATGGTCCACTTACTTCGATCCGATCCATCCGATTCGATGCTGATTTTGGCCAGTCCGATCCGACTTGATTCCGATACTTCGACGATCCGATGCGGCCCGATGCTTTCACGACGCTGTGGTGCATCCTGGCGCCGCCAGTGCGATTCGATTTCGACAACGTGCCGATGCAGCCCGACCCGATGCACGTTTCGGTTCGACCCGATTTCCCAATTCGATGCTGTCTGATCCTGCCGTCCTGGTGGTTCATCGGTCCTCTTCGTTGCGCCGCGAGGCGTGTCGGTCGGGCGGGGCCGGCGTTTCGCGTGAGGCTCCCCAGCAATTCCCAAAGCAGGTGCACGGACGGGGTGTGTTTTTTCAGCATGTGGTTCTCGCAGTATCGTCGCGCATGCTCGTTTGATTCTTTTCCAGCAGTTCCGCCGATGGAGGGCGATGCATTTGCAATTTGTTTCGCCCGTTCGCGCTCGTCTTTCAGGGGAGCGGTCCTGGCAACGGAGAGGAAGCTTGCAGGGACTTGGGGTGGGACGTGGTGCTGTGGGAAGTGGTGCTGCAGCATCCTTGCTGCATGTTGGGTTTATGCTAGTCCTCCCCCTCAGCTGGGAATCGTGCCCAGTTCAGTTGCGGGCCCTGCATCGATGTCCAGGTTGGCTTGATTCGTGCATTGTGTACCTCCGCCTCTGCCTCCGCATTCCCATCACTGTCTTGCTCCGCCCCTCGCGCTTCTTCTCCTGCTTGTGGTCGTGTTCGAAGCCGTTGTCTTCTTCCTCGTCCGTCCTCGTCGCCTTCTCCTTGTCCCCTTCGCTCGCTTTTTTTTGTATGTATTATTTTTCTTTTGCTCGCCCACCTTGATTCCATGCCCCGCCTGGTAACATGCGGCTCCTAGTCGGAGAACCGGCCTGTCTGGAACGACCGGAACGACCGCGACAATCGGGGCAGGCAGAGCTGGAGCGACAGGGACAGGCCCCAGACGGGGGAAAGCTGCCGCTGCTTGGGCTCGACTGCTGCGCGTGGGATCGTCTCTCCCATTCCTCACTGGTCGCCTGGCACCCCTCCGCCCAACGCTGTGGCGCAGCCTTGCCGTGGTGACTTGCGACTCTCGTGGATGGGGCCTGTACCGTCACGGACGGTAGAGCGTTGCCGCCAGTTGGGGCCTCCTCGCTCGCTCTTGTCGTGGCAGTCTCAGGGTGCAAGCACAGCGCGAGCAGATTCTGGATGTAGGGTGATTCTTGCCTCTCCGAATGTTTCCTCGTTGCGGATCTGTTTGAACACTGCGGTGTATGGGCGCGCGCGCGCGCGTGTGTGTGTGTGTGTGTGTGTGTGTGTGTCTTGGTTGTAGTGGCACGGTTTTGACACATTGTAGTTCTGTGTATGTGAAGACACAGGATGCGCTGGTGGGCTCCTCAGTTCGCTTGAAACGCAGAGAGCAGCAGCACACCTTCTCATCTCCCTCATCCTCCTCCTCCTCCTCCTCCTCCTCCTCCTCCTCCTCCTCCTCCTCCTCCTCCTCCCCCTCCCTGCCCTCCTCCCTCTCCAGTCTATCCCTTTCCCATATCAACAACTCCTCCTTGTCGCACCCCTGGACGTGTTGTTAGGGCAGGCCTGGCATTTCGCCTGTGACTTCACCATTCATGATTCTGAAGCTTGAGTTTTGCAATGGTTCCAAGGATGGAGGCGGGTCGTTTTCAAAGTGCGGCTCTCTTCTCAGGATCGCGCACGTTGTCTTTGAAATTTACGCGAGAGTTTCACGGATGTAGGGCGGTACCTTGCGTCAGCGCCGCGCACATTCGTCTTCAACGTAGCTTCAAGGATAGAGGGCGGGCCGTTTTCAACATGTGGTTCTCGCTGTTTCGTCTTCAAAGCTTGCAGTAGTTTCAAGGCTTGAGGGCGGGCCGTTTTCAAAATACGGCTCTCGCTCTGGCGCTGCCCACATTCGAATTCTAGACGCTTGCCCCACCAGCCCATCCAGAAACGATGCCCAGAGGAAGTGCCTCGATCAGGGAAGTGGGCAGCAGGCAGAGGAGGGGTCCCCCCGTGGAGGCCTCTCGGGGCCTCTTGGCGGTCCCGGACGCCTCTTAAAGCGTCTCGGGTGCCTCGGAGAGCTTCTTGGGGCCTCTTGGATGTCTCTTGGGCGCCTGTTGGGGCCTCCTGGAGCCTCCTGGGCGCCTCTTGGGGCCCTCTTGAAGCGCTCTTGGGAGCCGTGGGAGAGCTCTGGGAGTCCTCTTGGGCCATTTTGGAGCCATCTTGAGGCCTCGGATGGCCATCGGAAGCGAAAAGGCGAGAAAGCCACACACACATTGATTTTCCTAAGGTTTTGGAAGGATTTTGGCCTCTTCGGGGCCTCCTGGGGGAGCTCTTTGGCCACTTGGAGCCGTCTTGGAGCGGTCTTGGGGCCTTTTGGAGCATCGTGGGAGCCATCTTGAGGCATCTCTTTGGGTATCTTGAGTCACCTTGGAGGTCATCTTGGGCTCTCCCAGGCGCTCTTGGAGTAATCTTCAGCAGTGCCTCCCCCAGGAGACCAAACTGTTGCCAAAACCTTGGTAACCCAATGATTTCGACATTCTCGCCGAGGCCTCTTGGAGCGTCTTGGGTGCCTCTGGGGGGCCTCTTGGGGCCTCTTGGGGGTCTCTTGGGAGCCACTTGGGGGCATCCTGGGGGCCTCTGGGGGGCCTCTTGGGGCCTCCTGGCCGCCTCTTGGGGCCCTCTTGGGGCACCCTTGGGAGCCTGGGGAGCGCTCTTGGGGCCATCTCGGAGGAGCTCGATCAAAGAAGGGGGTTCCCTAATTGGCCTTCCCCCCCAGGAGGCCAACATGGGGCCAAAACCTTGGTAAAACCCATGGGTTTGGCTTCCTTGCCGAGGCCGTTTTAGACGCTCCGACCTCTCGCGGAACGCCCCGTCTAGGTCCAGGGGAGGGGGTTAGGGGGAGGGGTCAAGAGTCTCCCTCCCCGCCCGCAAGCCGTATCGCTCACTCCCACCCGCCCTCCCAACACATACGTAGCACCCGAGCCTGGCCCGAACCCCAGCATATGCAGCAGTCGTCGTTCAATGGAGAGCCACTGGGGGCGCATCCGCCGCCGCCGCCGCCGCCGCCGCTGTCCGCCGCCGCCGCCGCCACCGCGCCGCCCGCCGCCGCCGCCACCCGCCGCGCCGCCGCCGCCACCCGCGCCGCCCGCCGCCGCCGCCGCCGCCGCCGCCGCCGCCGCCGCCCCCCCCGATGCCGAATCGCCGCCGCCGCAGCCGCTGCCGCCGCAGCCGCTGCCGCCACCGCTGCCGCCGCCGCCGCCGCCCCCCCGCCGCCGCCGCCGCGCGCCGCCGCCGGCCCCCGCCGCCGCCACCGCTGCAGAAACCGCAGCCGCTGCCCCGCCGCAGCCGCCGCCGCCGCCGCCGCCGCCGAGTGTACTCAGTATTGTCTTTCGGCAGGGATGGTGGGAGGAGGCCGCATCGGGTTCCCTGCGCATGCTCCGAATTTGGAGGCAGAGTCTGTTTTGTATTGTTGTTTCAAGGGATGGTGGGGGCAGAGTGTGTTTGTTTTGTTTTTTACAAGGGATGGTGGGTGGGGGGGGGGGCCGCATGGACTTGGGTTGGCTCCCAGTCGCATGGGGGAGGGGGCGTATATCAACAGGGAGCAGTGATCAAGATCCCTTCTCCGCCCGCAAGCCGTCTCGCTCACCCCCACCCGCCCTCCCAACACATACATAGTACCCGAGCCTGGCCCGAACCCCAGCATATTCACGACTCGTCTTTGGATGGGCAGCTACTGCGGGCCAATCCGCGGCCGACTCCGCCTCCGCCGCCGCCGCCGCAGCCGCCGCCGCCGCCGCCGCCGCCGCCGCCACCGCTGCCCGCCGCCGCCGCCGCGCCGCCGCCGCCGCCCCGCCGCCGCTGCCGCAGCCGCCGCCCGCCGCCGCCGCCCGCCGCCGCAGCCGCCGCTGCCGCAGCCTCCGCTGCCAATCGCCGCCGCCGCAACCGCTGCCGCCGTAGCCGTGCCGCCGCCGCCGCCCCGCGCCGCCGCCGCCCGCCCCGCCGCCGCCGCCGCCGCCGCCCCCGCCGCCGCCGCCGCCGCCCCCGCCGCCGCCGCCGCAGCCGCCGCAGCCGCCGCCGCCGCCGCCGCAGCCGCCGCAGCCGCCGCAGCCGCCGAGTGTAGTTTGTATTGTTTTTTGACAGGGATGGCTGGGGGAGGCCGCGTCGGGGTGGCTGCGCATGCTACGAATTTGGAGGCAGAGTGTGTGTCGCATTGTTTTTTACAAGGGATGGTGGGGGGGGGGGCCCTCATGGTTCTGGGTTGGCTACCAGTCGACTGGGGGTGATGGACCCATCCCCGGAGGGTAAGAGGGAGGCGTGGAAGAAGAAACGCCCAAAACCACCTACGCCCAGAGGGCTGGTGGGATTATCAGTTTTTTTTTTTGGTTGAACCTTTCACGGGTGGAGGGCTGTTCTGTTTCAGCATGTGGACTTGCGGTAGCGCCGCGCACATCCGTCCTACTTCTTGCAGCAGTTACAGAGACTTGTATGGCTCAAGTCCCAGGGATGGTGTGTTCTGGTGCGCTTCGTATGGTCAGGACGCAACAGTCAGGATGATTCGCGGTGTTGAAATCCCAGGATTTGTACGCAACAGTCACGTTGATTCGCGGCGTCGATGTCCCAGGAATTGTGTTTTGGCACGGCTGAAGAATCTCAGACGGTGATCTTCCGACGGTGCATTTCCCGCGATAAAGATACAGTGTTACAGTGACCTATGAGAAAGGGGAACGTGAACGTTGATGCGTCTTGGGTTTGCACTGGTCCTTCTCCCCCTCCTCCTCCCTCTTCCCAGCCCGTCATCTCTTCCCCCCTTTCCCTCTCTTCCGCCCTCCCCCTTCCCTCCTCCCCTTCCCCCATCCGCACTTTTCTCCTCTTCCTAGGGCAGCATTGGGCATCGGCCAGCCTAGGGCCAACTGCACCAGCCCTCGGAGGGGCACGCGTCTGACTAAGTCTTCTATCAGTCGGGCGAGTCGCAGCCAGACGGCACCCACGGTCCCGATTCTGGCGGCGGGCATCCGTGACCCGTCTTCGGAGCCAGGCTCTGACGCACGCGCACCTCCAGCTCCGGGGTGCGTGCATTAATGCCTGCTCCGCCCTCGCCCTCGTCGAACCGCCGATCGACTCGATTCGAGGAGTGGCGCTGCTGTCCCACCTGCATCGCCCTCTCCACGCGGAGAGGCGCGATGCGATCAGCGTGTCGCTCTCTCCCTCGATCGCTTGCTCGATCGCCAGCGGCTGCTCGGCAGGCTGTTGTCCTCCCTTCGGAGGCATCGTTGTCAGGTACGGATTTGTTACTTTCTTGAGGACGCGCCGCCTCTTCCTCCTCCTCCTCCTCCTCCTCCTCCTCCTCCTCCTCCTTCTCCTCCTCCTCCTCCTCCTCCTCCTCCTCCTCCTCCTCCTCCTCCTCCCGCCGCGCCTCCAGGCCACGCTCCTCCTTCGAGCTTCGAGCTGCGGGCCGTTCTGTTCAAGCTGAACCACGTTCCTCCTCCTCCTCCTCCTTTTCCTCCTCCTCCTCCTTTTCCTCCTCCTGCTGCGCCTCCAGGCCACGCTCCTTCTTCGAGCTTCGAGCTGCGGACCATTCTGTTCAAACTGAACCACGCTCCTCCTCCTCCTCCCTCCTCCTCCTCCTCCTCCTCCTCCTCGTCTTCCTCCTCCTTCACGATCCTCCTCCACGCTCCTCCTCCTCCTCCTCCTCCTTCTTCTCCTCCTCCTCCTCCTCCTCCTCCTCCTCCTCCTTCTCCTCTCCCCCCTCCTCGCACCTCCTCGCGCTCCTCTCCTCGGATGGCCGCGCTACCCGCTCGGACAGGCCGGGCCACGGCGACGGCGGCCAGACCCCGGCAGGGCTGGAGCACGGAGGGCCCTCTCCAGTGGCGAGTGGCCCCCGGGCCCCGCCTCGTGCGCCCACTGGCAGGGCCCCCGCGGTCCTGCCGCGGCGAGCGCCCCGAGCAGGGCTCATCTCGACGCCTCCGGCTCGATGCGATTCGATCTCGGTCGATGCCGACTCCGATCCGATTCTGCCTCGGGTTCCGACCTGGCTCCCGCCAGCCTGCCGATGTCGCCGCGGGCTCGACCTCTCTCGACCCTGCCCGCTTTGGGCTCTATTGGGCCCCCC